GTCTCAGTTGTTTCTAAACTTGTTATCACTGTCAACTATGTCAGTGTCCACATACAGACCGGAGGTTTGACAAAATAAGACTTCAGCTTGCAGATGGCACTGCAGGCTGGAAAAAGCAATGCTTTAATACTGTATTTGTCGGGTACAAATACAATGTTACAAAATAATTTAATTGAACAATATATATATATTACATTTTTGCCAACATACATAGAAAATAGAGCAGGGTTTTAAAAAAAACAACCAACAAGATAAATGCTTTATATGTCCCTGAGAAATGTATATAAATACAAGTTTTTAAACGAATGCATGCTGATGCAGCTAAATTTAGTCTGGGCCTCTAGGCATCAATGACATCTGGTTACAGAGGGGTTAAACTCCACTTCTCATTCAACCATGCCACTTAGGTTAGCATAGATAGTGCTGAGTTAAATTTGGCACAAAGTTTATTTCTGAAAAGGTGTTTCTGGGTTGTATTTGTTACATAGATATACGATAAGTATGACAAGAGAAGAAAACATATTTTATGGCTTTCCCCATTTTCATATCTAATACTAAGAAGCAGAGATGCTTTATTATGTAAACGGGGATCAGAGCAAAGAAATACAGGAATACCTTGGTTCACGAACGCTTCGGTTCACGAACAGGAAGTTCAGCAAAATGTTGCTTCCGTTCATGAACTCCAAATCAGGTGACGAAACACGACCGTGGCCATCTTCCCTGCTCTGACATGTGGTTGTGGCTTCCTCTAGTCGAGATTGCGGTCACAGACAGACCTGTGCACACTTGCTGTGAAGCTTTTTTGTGTGCTTTTTAGCAAATACAGTACTGTACAGTATTATTCAATCCAGCATGGCTCCAAAGAAAATGCAGATCAAGCATAGTGGTAAAAAGAAAGTGCAGAGCAAGCATGGTGGTAAAAAGAAAGTGCAGAGCAAGCATGGTGGTAAAAAGAAAGTGCAGAGCAAGCATGGTGGTAAAAAGAAAGTGCAGAGCAAGCATGGTGGTAAAAAGAAAGTGCAGAGCAAGCATGGTGGTAAAAAGAAAGTGCAGAGCAAGCATGGTGGTAAAAAGAAAGTGCAGAGCAAGCATGGTGGTAAAAAGAAAGTGCAGAGCAAGCATGGTGGTAAAAAGAAAGTGCAGAGCGGTAATGAATTTATACATGGCTCAGAACGGATTAATCTTATTTACATTGAACCTTATGGGAAAATTTTATTCTGTCCGCAACCAAAATCGGTTTGTGACCACGTTCGTAGGGGTCAGAACGCATTAACCTTATTTACATTGAACCTTATGGGAAAATTTGATTTGGTTCGCAAGCAATTCGGTTCGCAAGCAGAATCATGGAATAAATTAAGTTCATGAACCGAGGTACCACTGTAATTAATCTTTATATTTAACAAAAATTTCCTTGAGATGGAATCTAATATTTTATATCTTATGAAAGAAATATTGCAACTATGCTGGGACATGAAAATGTTAGTAATGATTTAAGATATAGCTGATGTATGTTTTAAAGCTAACCAAGGATATATATTAGTAAAGTAGAATTAGACCTTTCAACAGGCTTTAATTGGTAAAGGGAAATGTTCTAATGGGGGGACACCTGTTTCAGGACAACTAAGAGGAGAATGTCCCCAATGGTACACACACAAAAAAGAACTGACAGGGGTTTTAACAACACTCTATCCCTTAAAGTGGGGGAAGAAATATTTTTTACAAGAAGAGGTCTCTTGGATTATGATGTGCACTACCTTGTAACTGCTTACACTGGATCTCCTGCTTGCTAGGCATGGTCCAGATTGTCTTTTTGCCCCACAGTTAAAATGACCCTACCCATGAAACAAGGAAATGTATTCAAGTTTAAGATGAAATAAAATTCCCTTAATATTAAATTTAATAGCTGTATCTAGTCATGTAATACAGGCACGCCCCATCTGAACATCTAATCTAATGAACAGACTAAAGAGTAGTGCTCATTGCATAACATTATTCTTCTTACTGGATGTGGCAGCCAAAAAGTTATTTTAGGCTGTTACTAAACTGCCTAATTTTAACAACATTTGAAAGTAAAGGGAAGTAAACAGCTGACTCACAGAGTACAACATAGTTTGTGTTAACTCCTGTCTATGGGAGATTTGGGAGGAACTGAATGAAGAACTTCCAAGTCAATTAACTTATTCCGTTCTGAGTTAAAAGAACATAAGTGACATAATGTCTGATGTTAACGCCCTGTGAAAAGGAGCAAAACAATGAACTGTCAGCGGAAAAAAATCAGTTGCTGATTTGCATATGCTAAAATTGACCATCTATGGTTGATAGAAATGCAGCAGTTGATATGATGTGCAGATGATAAGAAGTGGAAATATTTGGGTGATTTTCATGGCTCCAGGTGAGCTCCTAGGTTATGTGTGAGCATAACCAACCTTAGCTATATATGACCTATATAGTCAGACAGGGAGTCATCCTGAGGAAGCTGCTGGATTTGTGAGTCTTTTAACCTCTCCAATTCTAAAATGGGACCTTTCCTCCTCAACTACCCTGTCTCTTAATTGTCTCTGCTTTGTAACAGCCACCACTCTTCCCTAAAAACTTCATACACGGTGGGACAACCAAGTATAATTCTATGCCAAAACCTCTGTCCCTTCCTGCAGTAAAGCAGTACTCACCGACTGCACTGTGAGTGAATGCTGGCATCTGTGTGATCACCATGAAAGGCAAACCACAAATCAGCATCATGCATTTTATCTTCGAGTTTGCGAGTTCGGCCTCATTCTTCAGGATGAGATGGAAGTTTGATAGAGAATGCTGCTTTGCTGCCCCAGTGTTAAACGTTAAAGTGACACTAAACTCAAGTTAAATCATAAAAATGTATTCATATGCCTTAACTATTAACAATACTGTATCTTATTTGTGCATCACTCGGCTGTAAATCCTCAAATCATCTCTGAATTGTTGCTGACACTGTCCTTCCTTCTGGAGGGTGGCTACTTTTGTTCCTCATGGTCCCTGTGTGTGTTATAAAATAACCACCATTCCAAGCTCGCTTCCTTGATGGACTACAATCTCACATTTAGGGCCGGAGCACACCTAGGCGACACCTCACTGGGCAGCAATTGTTCACGATTGCGCACGGATTGCCGTGCAGTCAGGAGTCGCCAAGTTGTGAACCGATCGCGCTGTGGGTGCCAGTATTTTCTAATGGCACCCCAGTCGCGCTGGGCGGATTGTGCAGTTTCCCACCGCTATTCCGCCCGTACTTCAGCTAAAACAGCCGCACGTCGTGTAGCTCAAAAAAAAAGGTACATGTACCTTTTTTCTGTGATTGCCACATGGATTTCACCCCATTGACATTAATGGGGCTGCGCGGCAATGGCTGCCTGCATTATGCAGGACCGCATGATACCGGGACGCGTGATCCCGGATCGTGGAGGTCTGCACAGTGTTTACTCATTTGTATTGAGAATATAGTCCATCACGGGTCCATCACATGCATTGTATGTTAACATGCATTGCTGTTACAAGTGAATTAATGCAACTCATAGGTGTGAATGGGCCCTTAATGATTTCTTCACCTAATACAATGAAGGCCACACTTGTGTCTGATCTCCACCTATGCATGAATGCTGAATAATGCATGCATCTGCTGAAATTAAATATACTGAACATGTACGGAATCATGCACAATGATTGATAAAGAAATTTGAAACATACAGTATGTACTTAGCTTTAGGAAACCTAATGCTAAGTATATACTGTATGGTTCAAATTCTTTTTTGAAAACAGTTGTTCTTGGAATGCTCTTTTGATTATGCATTAGTAGATAATTCGGTCGAATTGACCATCGTTTTTAACCGTGATGAAAAAACAAACAAAATTCTAACAACGAATGTGGTTTTCGTTTGGGAAACTCCATTAGTTCCAAAATAAATTGTTAAACTCGAACAAAAGTTCAAACGTCATTTGAAAAGTCTCTGATAACATTATCGACTGTTCTGACAAGATTTTGAACGCTCATTAAACGTGTATATCCTGCTTTAGAGTTTGTTCCTACACACACACAAGCTTTTATGTGTGGAAACCTATAGATTTTGATTGATCAAGGAGGCCAAATGTATAATAATATAATGTGAAAGTCCATGGGTTTGGATTCGGTCTGAATGTGCAGTATTTTTTAACTGAATGGCTCATTATACATATTAGCAAATATATTGGACTAATCTCTCAGGCTTATGCTTGTGGAAAGCTTTGGAGCAGAGGGGTCATGAAAGCATATTGGACTACATCAGAGTACTCAGTGTACCTGGTGCTGTGTACATACATTACAGACTAGTTAAAGGCCTGACTGGTTCACTTTATCCATAGGTACAATAAACTCCCCATTATACGACATTCGGGATTTAAGCAACCGGCACTCTCAATCAACCTGCAAAAAAAATGAAGGACATAATATGTCCTCGGTTGCTTGATAGACATTGGGACACTAAAAAATGTAATTGGCAACTAAATGTATTTAGTTGCTAGTGAAATTCTTTGCCTACATCTTGCTGTTAGTCAGCGGCTAAATTCCACAGTCGGCAGTAGAATGTAAACAATGGGGAGCAATAGCCAGCCTGCTATTGGCTTTTGCAATTTGAAATAGCCAATAGCAGGCTGGCTATTGCACCTGCCCACTTAGCAGAGGAGCAATAGCCAGCCTGCTATTGGCTATTACAATTTGAAATAGCCAATAGCAGACTGGCTATTGCACCTGCCCACTGAGCAGAGGAGCGGACCTGATAGAGAACTTTCTATTAACTCTCCAACAACCAGAAGCTACAGTTATCTAGCATCTACCAATCCCCGTGAGTGCTGCATAACTGGAAGTTTACTGTACTAAACATCTATTGGATATGTACTCTTTTCTTTCCCATGACAGTCAACACCACCATGTTGATATGTGTAATAAATTAGTTGACTTTACATTTTTTACTCATAATGCAATATTTTTGTCTTGGCAGCTGATGTGCTCATCGATCCAGAGTGCTCTGTTTGAGGAAGAAGACAGAGTAAAGAAACTTCAGCAAAAAGTGGCTTCCCTTGAGAAACGCAACAAACAGCTTCGGAATCGAGTAAAGAAGGTCAAGAACTCTTTACGACAAGCAAAAAAGAATGCCAGAAACATGGAAATTATTAACATAAAACTGAATGAGAAACTCTCCTCAGTGGCTGGACAGATGACACACATGAATTCTTTTAAACAAAAAAATTCTCATCCATCATACCTCAAAGTATAGTGTGTTACTGTTTAATCTAATATGAGGTCTGTGCAAAATATACACAAAATCTGCATCATAGCTCAGATTTATCACGTTCTCAGAAGTATGTCCTAGGAAACCTTTACAGAATTTAATCCGATTAGAAAAAAATGTGTAAATCTTGTTTGAGAGCTGTGTGAGTCTTTAATATTTAACATTTATATATAGACCCTTAGGCATGCATGCATATTTTCATCTTCTTTTTGTCGTATTTGACTGAGTAACTAGGTGTTTAAGTGTCACAGTAAACCTTTTTACAGATAGAAGAAAAATAAATATACAATGTGTGTGTATATGTATATGTGCAGGGCTTGAAAAATCCACTCGTCTGCTCGTCTGTAACGAGAGGACGGCGGAGCCCAACGAGCAGTTTCCCGGCTGGCCGTTGTAATTACATGGCCGGCCGGGAGCTTTACATTCAAGCGATCGGGCGTCTCTAGAGACGCTCGATCGCTTGTATTAGCAGCTGTCACTGCCGTTGCCGGTCCCGAGATCCGCTGTGCCCGATGCGGCCGGCACGGCTCTGTGACAGGAGATCAAAGGGAGATAAGTATACGGTCTCCCTTTGATCTTCTCTCAGTCCCCGAATGCAGGAAGTGATGTATATTACATCACTTCCTGCATTCAATGTCACTCTCCAGCTACAGAAGCCGATGAAGCTGATCTCTGCTTCATCAGCTTCTCTGGGGGTCCCTAGGTGACATTAGGGGTCTTGGAGACCCCTGATGTCTCCATAAAGAGGACCTGTCATGTAAATTGGCTATCACATAGGGGGCTTCTTAGCCCCCATGTAATAGCAATAAAGTTGTGTGTAAAAAATAATAAGTAATACAAAAATTAAAGAATCATAAAGAAACAATAAAGCATAAAAAAAATTAGAAAATAAAACAATTTTTTTGGTAGTCCCCGCCCCCCACATACAAACGCAGATATGCGTAGGGTGCGCCTACGTGCGAAAACGACGATTGCACCTATTGTGCTGCACATGTTAGATATCGCCGCAAACGTCTGAGTGAGAGCAATAATTTGATGAGCAGTAAAAGCGTTTTAAGCATCACCTATGGGTCTATCTGCGTTTTTTGCGATTTTGCGGGCGCACACAATTTTAAGTTTTGACATGTTTGGTGTCTATTTACCTGACGTGATCCCGACTTTTATGTTTTACCAAAAATATGGGTATGAATAAATGTTTTATAACAGAACGTAGAATTTTCAAGCCCTGTATATGTGTATCTATATATATACACACACACACACAATGGAGTGAAGCCTGTGCCACTCAAAATGAGAAAACAGAGCAGCTCCTGCACCTAATTAACAAAGAGGTGCAATCCCCTGCGTCAGTTAGGCGTGAACTGCTCCATTATCAATGTCATGCAGTATCTGCAGTAGACACGGCATAGAGAGCAGGAAAGCTGAAGATGCTTGCTATGGCTCCCTCTAATCACCTACTACCTCTGAGAGAGGGTGGGAAGAAGAAGCCTGTGTTTACTGAGATTAACACTGGGCATATAGGCAGGGGAAGGACCTTTCCCTACTTATATCTGCCTGTGTGTTGTGTTCACTGTATGGGCAGAGAGAGACATGTGAGTTGTCTGCCAGTAAAATATTGTAACTTATCAGTCCTTAGATGTGGTGGTTGCATTAATTTACTTTTTATACTTTATGGTCAACTGGTAATCCTGTGAATAACACAGTTCCTATCCTGATGGATTCACTGTATCTGTTGAGGGAACCTTAGATGTCACTAGGTTGCTCTCCTGATTTGAACCACTAACCATGCAGCACTCCTCATTTCCCTTACATAGGGAGAACTTTTGTGGGTTTAAAAGGTAGCTGGGAAAACTGATAAGAGTGTTTTAAATATCAGTTTAGAGCAAAGGACAGTGGAATTCTGGCAAGATAAACAATAAAAAAAAAACGATTTCAGCCTCCACATTTAAGAACTGATATATTGTATATATTTTTGGGGGGTTATATATCCTTTAAACCTGTTAAATATGTTGTCAAAAGTTGATGGACAGCTTCAAAATTGCCAACACAAATGTTAAATTAACTGAGTGAAATTTTCTTGCTTTGTTCAGCCTTTGGAGCCAAACGTTTTTGGTATGGTGCCTGGATATGGTTATGTCAGTTGCAGATGACTTTGAATGACATAGCATTTGTGACCTGATATCTGCAATCAATACATTGATTCAATCATTGCTTGTAATCATTGGCCACCTATTGGGTCATGTAAGGTTCAATTAGGGTGCTAACGTTGTCTTCCAGAAAAATCTCTGCATCTTTTCCTTTTTTTTTACAGAGATAAAAGCAGAAAACCACAAGTGCTCTAGATCTTAGATAGAGATGATTGTGGTGGGTCTCAATAATCCATTGATGTAAGGGAGGATGGATACATGTCTCAGAATCACTTATCTCATTGAGGTATCTGGCTGTCTGTGACCAGGGATGACGGTGTCCTGACCTGGCCATGTTTGACTGGATAAGGGAATGATACTCATATCTATAAGTGCCAGCAGACTTCCTCCCCAACCCTAAGTGTATTGTGAAATACTGCTTCGTCATGGTGGATAATTTTAGCTGATCGTTATTTTTTTGTCCCAAGATCAGCTGATGTTGGAGATGTACACCTATACTCTCACCTTCCTTCTTTATTGAGATAAACACACATTTCCAGTTGAATGACGATTCATTTCACCTTTAGTTCTAGAGAAATTTTACACTGTTAGAAATATATTTCTTCAATGAGTAATGGCAATGAAGGAGGACATAAATCAATAGATGAGTAAAGGCTGGTGTTTAATAACTTCCAGGGCTATTGCAGCACCAATGCCAATTTTCTGCAAGTCTTCATGTTTATACCATGCTGTTTTGTGAATTTCTTCTATGACTGTTGTATGCAGGCGTTGAATTAGACTGATATCATATACCTAACATGGTAACAGGGAGCAAAGCATATGAACAAGGTCTTAAGGCAATGGATTTTACCACTAACGTCACAGTGGTAAGCAGCTTATGTTGTGTAGATTTTCATTTTTTTATTAATTTTTATTCATTTGATAGAAAAGCAACTACATCTACAAAATTAATTCTTAGTATTGCTTGTATAGGAGTTGCTGGGCAGCTCTTTTGTTCTATGATTTCACAGTTATTACAATTCAGTGTTATAATTGAGGGATTGATGTATTTTATATAGCATGGCAAATGTCAACTGTGTTTTTGTAGCAGTGACATTGATTAATGATTCTTTTTCATGTAAAATACTTCACCATGTAATATGTATATTTAAAATTTTGTAAAAATATTTGCACATAACTTGGCAATAAACACTATTTAGATAAAACTTGTCATTCTTTCATTTCATACATATATTTGATAACATCTGCTAGTAGACAACTGTATAATTGTGGAAAAATAAATTGTGATTCATAAATGTGCTTTTATGTTTAGTTAAGAAACTCAGCTGATTTGCAACACCTTCAGCACATGGGTTGAAGCAGGATTCCAGAGAAATATTAAAACAAAACACCATATAAACATGTCAGTTGTTAATTTAAAAAATATTTGAAATAAACCACTGTCAGAGGAGGCACAATATAAGCATGTATTTTCATATGATTGTAAAAGATTCTGGTAGCGCTGAAGGTCAGAATGCTCTCATATGCAAATAATGGCTTCAGTAACTGATGTCACACATGGTTCCAACCCCTGCCACCTTCCACTTCTTACTATTGATCAATGAGACGGCCCAGCTTAGTGTGGGACAATGGGATATTGGAGCAATCAAACCAATTATAACTTAAGTTTCTCAATTGCTGTTTGTATTTTAGGTGTCTGCTGTCCCACAAAGTAAAAAAACATTCAGGATTCTAGACTAGTGTTAAACTAGACATTATTTATGAATATTCAATTTTACCACTTTGAGGCATGAGGTGGTGACCTCAAGAACTGTAGAAGACTTGGCTATCTGAAATAATAGCTGCTTCGACATAATGGGCCCTTTCCTAGATTTTCCATCCTGGTTCCAATCTTGGAGGAGATCAAGCAAGAAAGCAGAATGAAGACAGCAGTAGGAGTTTACATTGATGTTTTCAGTCAGCTGACAACTGCAAACAAATACAGATACTGCCTGGCTAAAATAATCATGGCAAGTTCTACTGAGTCACACTGTGCTCTGTTGGTCATGCACGCCATGCAGTGAAGGGTGAAACTGATATTGCCATCTCACACCAAAGGCATCACACTCTGCGGATCTGTGTCACAGCAAGATCAGTGTACCAGTGTACATCGCACTCGGAGCAGGAGCCCAGCACCTAGTAACTGGTCACAACCTGCAGGCAAAGAACTGATTTTTCCAGCAGCATACTCAGGGGTTTTGTTATTGCTAGGTCCATCCCACTGACAACAAACTCATCAGTGGTTGGCTAAACAACAAACATCAAGGCTAACCATGATGTATTCCTGACAGCTCTCTGGAACGTTCAACAGAGTCTGTCAGATGAAACAGCATAGACAGCCACTGTGCACACTCTACTGGGAAAATTAGTGCTTCACAGTAAAACTGAAAAATGAAGTGCGAGCTTTAGAGAACACATCCCTACAGGATATAAATAACTCCCACCATATTACAATAAAAAAAATATTTTGTTCTATATATTTGTCTATTTGGCACCTTGAAGCCAACAACCGTGCAGAAAACATTACAATAGGGATACCCAACACATCGTTTCATAAAATAATACAAAAACATTGGCACATTCTACAAAATGATAAAATAATTTCAAACTTTAACAAAAACTCCTAATATATTTAGGAGAAGCCCTTTGTCTGTTTGTTGTTATGGGATAAGCTGGTGTATAGTAATTTCTTCCCCAATTCAGGAGTGGATCTGTGAAGACATGTTTGAGGTCTAGCCTGTGACAACCATGCCAGCCTCCATAGATATAATGGAGAAATTAGTGTAACATCCCAGAGACAGGAAGTGTGTTATTTGCAGGATTAATGGTGAAAATAAAGGAAAACAAA